TCACGGCTCCCACTGGAGCCCGAGGCCGCCAGCGCCGCGCTGGAAGAGCTGCCCTCTCGGAGCGCAGGCCCTCCTCTTGCCCTCCGCCGCGGCCGCCCTCCTTAGCCCAGCGCGGTCCACGACTCGCAACGAAAACTACTCGCAAATGGTCCAGACCCGCCGCGGGTGATTTACGAGACATTGCATCGGGGCAAACATGCGTGTTTTTTGTCTGACGTTTGCGAGTAGGCACCTTGCGAGTAGTGGAACGCGCTCGGTGACTCCTTCTTTTCTGATGTCATTGTTCTTCTTCGGCGCTGATACTTGGCGACCCGCCCGCGACCCACCAGAGACCCGCTCGCGACCCGCCGCGACCGACCCGCGATCCGCCCGCGCCCACCCGCGACCCACCCTCATTGCTTTGACAGAAATTCGGCGACTCGATGTGCAGCGGAGAGGTGCCCCAGCACAGATCCAAGAGACCCGCGCGGAGCTCCCAAAATTTATGCTTATGAGGTGCTCCTCCTTCGAACGTCGCCACGACAAAAACCTACCGTACTTAATGATTGTCTGATGTCCTCCGCCTACGCCTCCATTGTGAGCAAGGACCGACCGTCCTGGCCTTCCTATAGTCCGAGCACGACACATTCTTAGAACGCAAAAAAGTTCTAAGAACCACCACGATGTTCTTAGAACATAAACCCGATTTGACAAAACAAAACAGACTCCGCCAGAAATGTTCTAAGAACATTTCGTGGAAACCACCAAAGGTTCTCAGAACAGTTTGGTAGGCATATCGGCGAGCCAGGACGCTTCGCCACTGCTCGACAATTGGGCTCGAGCTCGTGGGGGGCGATCAATGAGGGGGGGAAGAGAAAGGCGCCCTTCTCGGACCCTCAAGGCCCCCTTCTGGGCCCGAAAGGGTTCCTCTGGGGGCCCTAGAGGGACCCTTTTCGGCGGCCCTCGCTGCCTCCCATTACGCGCCCTCCAACTCCGCCTCCAATTTGGACCCCCAGAACAAATACGAAGAGAACGAATAGAATGCCCAACATCAAATTCTGTCCAAAACCGGCAGCGGCCACTGCTGAGCAGGCGGCTTTTCTTTCAAAATTAGCCAGGCCCGCGGCGGCACCGACAGCACATCCAGTTCAAAACGGGCAGGAACTGCTGTCGGTCGTCGTACCCATTCTTTCCATACCCATTTCCATCGTCCCGATCCCACCTCTGCCTGCCGGCTCCCGCCGACCGCTGCCGGCGCTCCTGCCCCATCGTCGCTGCCGCTGTTTTTTTCGTCGTGCGGAGGTAGAGGAAGAAGTGGCACAGCACGTGCAGGAGACCCACGATGAGGGCCAGGAAGAGCCAGTCCTCGATCGGGCGATGGGGGGAGAGATTCCCATGACGATTGCCCGAGACCTACCTGGGCACCGACATCACGAGGCTATGCTACACCAGCGTCTGCACTCGCCCAGGCAATGGCCCTCTGAGCATCGCGTCGCGGCAGCGGATTCCCTCTGTCGCCGTCCTGGGCATTCCCGAGGGCCGGGGCCGTTCATCAAAAGAAATGTGCTTGCGGACTCTGTTCCCCGTTAGCAATCTGGCGCTCACACTGTGCTGCCAATGTCGTCACACGCAAACTACGACAGCAACCGCAGGCGGGCAGGAGGCTTCGTTCTGCTGAGGGCAGAGGAACAGAAACATCTATGAGCACAGGCGTTCAAAACCGCTCCCGCGGATTCCTTGAATCGGCGCTGGATCCTGCATCCCTGGCGCGGGGAGCGCGCCGTGGGTGTCGCTGGAGACGCCGCCAAGAGTCCTGCACAGATCCCGGCAATCCTCGTGGGGATTTGAAAGTTGATGCTTATGCGCATGTTGCATTCGTCTTCCAGGGCAGGAGGGAAGTAGTAGTATACTCAACGATCGTGGGCCGATCCCGAGACCCCACTTCGCAGAAGGAGAAGGTGGATTCGAGGAGAAAGGGGGAGGAGGAGGAGGAGGAGGAGGAGGAGGAGGAGGAGGAGGAGGAGGAGGAGGAGTAGGAGGAGCGAGGAGAAGGAGCTTATCGACACGACTTTCGAGGAGGCTTCCGTCCCCCCCCGCAGGAGAAGGAGGCTTCGGTTTGCTGACGAGGCAGGGGGGAGAGGAAGAGGAGAGGAGGAGGAGGAAGAGGAGGAGGAGGAGGAGGAGGGGGAGGAGGAGGAGGAGGAGGAGGAGGACCAGCAGGAGGAGGACGACGAGGACGAGGACGAGGAGGAGGAGGATCATCCAAGACTTCTGTAGAAGACTGCCGACGAGTTTTTGGGGCGATGCCGATGCCCCTCCCCATCCCCCCCGCACCGCGAGCGCGAGCGCGAGCGCCGGGCGCGCCCGCCGCAAGGGGGGACCGCGGCATCCTGCAGAGGCTTCTTGCTCTGCAGCCGCACGACGACCTGGTCGCCCCCGCGCGCGCGCGCTGGCTGGCGCACGGGGGGGGGTCCCGTGCGCCCCCCGCCGCCTCCGCTTGGAACGGACGCGACGAGAGGGGGGGAGGCTCCGCACAGTCAAGCGACCGCCAAAGGAACTCTAAAAAGGGAGCGGATCGCCCCGGCCCGCTTGACCCGAGGAGCGCACGACGTCCTGGTCCACCCCGCGCGCTTGCGCGCTGGTTTGCTGACGCAGAACTCGCCATCGCGCGGACGTGAGAACCTCAGGGGATCCTTGAGATCGGCACCAAGGTACAGTCATGGCAATCGTACGGACAGGGTTATGGTTAGGGCTGGCAAGGCACGGACGAGCCAAGAAGGTGGGGTCAGCACAGTCAAGCTACTACCAGAAGGAAAGCTACAGAACGACTGATGACCCCCTTTCTGGTCTAAGGAGCGCCTTCGTGCCCGAGGGGCGCTGCAGGAACAACCATGGTATGACCCGAAGAACAAGCAAGCCCTGTTCCTTATTTCAGCGGCTCGACAGCAAATGTGCAAGAAGGGTTCAAGACGAAACAAGGCATAATCTCTTTAAGGTCCGCGCGGAATAATAGGATCGGGGCTGGACCCCCGCGTGCCATGTAGGGGTGTCCGGCGCCGATCCGGGAAATCCCAGCGGACATCCAGCGGTTTGTGTATTTGCCGCTGGGACGCACAAGAACATATGAGTACTGTTAGGTCGGGCGTGTCCCCCTACAGGCGGATTTTGAACGAACAATCAAACATCGTTTTTTCTGTTCAGAAGTATGCAGAACATCGTCCCCAGACTATGTTTTGACCATTATTGAATATTCCTCCTGCAGAGGGGCAGGCCCGACTTCAGAGTACTGTGTTCTCCTCGGAGGTGCGTCCGATCCGATTTTTTTTGATCCGCGGGTCGAGAGCGAGCCTCTTCCGGTCGAAGCTAAGCGGGCCGCGCACAGCTTTAATTAACGGAGGAAGGAAAAAAGAAGGCGGGGCCTCGCGACCGATCCGAACACGTGGCATATAGTACAACCATCGTGTTATACCCCGTCGCCCCAGCGGCATGGCCACCAAGCAAGCGCCCACCGACTTGCATATACCATCGGGCTTCTCGGCGCGCGCGTCGCCCCTCTCGGGGGGCGACGCACACGTAGTACAGCGAAGGCCCGACCACAAAAAGCCTGCTGCGAGAAACCCGACCCCGAGCCCCCAGGACGCCCATCGATCTTCGGGGCGGGAGCGCCACGCCTCGCACAGCAAAACCGTCGAGACCCCGGAGGCCCGGGGCACCCTGGAGGCAAGCAGGGTGCCTCTTGGCATGGGCCTCCACTGCAGCATCCGCATGAGTGGGTTAGGTGGGGGGAATGTCCCCCGACATGCGGATTTGGGGCCAAAAATGAAAATCTTCAAACAAGTCTTCAAGAATGCTGACAAAAATCCGCCGATCGGGCGTGTGAGTTTCAAGGGGTCTCAGCTACAGCCTCGAGGCTGAGCCTCAACCTCTGGGGGGGTTGCCGGGGTGGCTCTGCCGGGGAAGGGGGGGTGGGGGTGCGGGGGGGGGTACGAGTTTTCCGGCGGTCGCGGGGGGCTGCTTTTACAGAAGGCTCTAATCTCGAGGATGCGCTGGAAGGGTGGCCGCGGCCGCAAAAGTCTCAGAGGACAGTCTAAGAAAGTCCCGAGACCCCGAAAGATCGCCCGAACACGCCCAAGATGGCCCCAAGACGGCCCAAGAGCCTTCCAAGACGTCTGAAGAGGCCTCCAAGAGGCCTCCCACGAGGGCCCCCAGAGGCAAAAACCGTTGATTTCCATTTGTGTTTTTCAATGTTTTTGGGGTTGTCGCCTTTTTCGGCTTTCCGACGCTCCAAGACTGCCCAAGAGGCCCCCAAGACCGCTCGAAAACGGCGCAGGAGGCCCCCAGACAGTCCCAAGACGGCCCAAGAGGGGCCCAAGGCGGCCCAAGAGCCGCCCAAGACGGCCCAAGAGGCCCCCAAGACGGCCCCAAGAGGACCCAAAAGAGGGACGAAAAGCGGAAAAAAAACTAGCCTTCCAGCCCACGAGGCCCCCAGGAGGCTCCAAGAGCCACCAAGAGGGCCCCCAAAAGTCCCAAGAAGCCCCCACGACGCCCTGACAGGCTCCTAAGATGGCTCAAAAAACGCCCCAAGAGGGCGTCCTTGCGCCGATAGGCTCGCCTCCACCGCTCGCACCACATCGTCCAGCCCACATGTTTCGTAACAAGACTCCGTGCAAGACGTATCGTGCATTTCCAAAATGATCGGCATCCTGTATGGAATTTTCATGTCACGACCCCGCGACGCCGGTCTGGCCTGTCGGAACAGACTTACGCTTCGCACACACACACACACCACCAACCCCATCACACGCGACGCCCAAGCGAGTTCAGGTGTGTGCTTCTGTGCGAGCATCTGTGTGTAGCGCGTGTCTGCGAATGTCTATGCGTGCTAGTGTCTGGCGTGCGCCTGGGGTGTCTCTGTATGTGTGTCTGCCGTATGTTATGTGCACTTGGTCGTGTGCGTGCGTGAGGTGTCCGCGTAATGTGTATCCGGTCGGCGTGCGCGCGCGTGCGTTGCCTAACTGGTGTGTGTGGGTGGTGGTGTGTGTGCATGTCTGCGGCGCGGATTAGGTGGTGTGACTGTGTGTGTGCGTTTGAGTGTGCGCCAATAATGTCTGCGTCTGAAGAATAACACCGAGCGACCTGGATCGGCGGCTCTGGCCGAAGGCCACTACAATATTCAAACACAATCTTCCCCAGGGTATTTTTTGATCATTTCTGAATACTCCTCCTGTAGAGGAACAGGCCCGACTTAACTGCAGCATCAGCATGCTTGGGTTAAGTCGGGCCTGTCCCCCTACAAGGGGATTTTGGACTAAACATTACAAATGCCCCAACAGTACGCCAAAACGAATATGCCCCCCTGTAGAGGTCGGGAGCGGCCAAGAGGGGGGTGTCCAAGAGGGGGGGGTGCAAATCATGACCGGCGGCATGTGCGCGGCCCAGCGGGGGGGCCAGGGACGTAATGAAATAAGAAGAGGCGCCATGAAATCTGAGGAAAAATCATGGCCCCCGCCATGATATCCTTCCCCCCCTGGTCATCACCCCCCTCTTTTCCGCCCCCGAAGAGGGACGGGCCCGACTTCGTGCCTGGGTGGCGACCGATGTTCTTCCTCGAGCTCAAGGGGGTCAGCGAACCAGCTCGCGCAGCCTGCCCTCCCCCAGCGCCTCCGGGCGCCCTCGGGGCGCCACGCGCCGGGCGTTGCCAGAAGTGCCCCTAGCCCAGATTTGCCCCCAGCGTTTCGCTCCGTTCTTGAGCCCCCCTGGGGCCCTCGTGAGGGGTGTCCTCCTCCTCCTCCTCCTCCTCCTCCTCTCCTCCTCCTCCTCCTCCTCCTCCTCCGCCTCCCCCTCCTCCTCCTCCCCCTCCCCTCCCCCTCCCCCTCCCCCTCCCCCTCCCCCTCCCCTCCCCCTCCCCCCTCCTCCTCCCTCCTCCCTCCTCCTCCTCCTCCTCCTCCTCCTCCTCCTCCTCCTCCTCCTCCTCCTCCTCCTCCCTCCTCCTCCTCCTCCTCCTCCTCCCCCTCCCCCTCCTCCTCCTCCTCCTCCTCCTCCTCCTCCTCCTCCTCCTCCTCCTCCTCCTCCTCCTCCTCCTCCTCCTCCGCCTCCCCCTCCTCCTCCTCCCCCTCCCCCTCCCCCTCCCCCTCCCCCTCCCCTCCCCCTCCCCCTCCCCCTCCCCCTCCTCCTCCTCCTCCTCCTCCTCCTCCTCCTCTCTCCTCCTCCTCCTCCTCTCCTCCTCCTCCTCCTCCTCCTCCTCCTCCTCCTCCTCCTCCTCCTCCTCCTCCTCCTCCTCCTCCTCCTCCTCCCTCCTCCTCCTCCTCCTCCTCCTCCTCCTCCTCCTCCTCTCCCTCCTCCTCCTCCTCCTCCCCCAATCAGAGTCCGTCTGGGCCACCCCGAGCATCCTGGGGGTACCCTTGGGCCGGGGGGCACTTCTGGCAGCACCCGAAACCAGGAGTCGAGGAAGCCGCCCAGCGGCGGGGCCGGGACCCGCCGCGCGCAGCAACTATCGCCCCGCCCCCCCCCCCTCTTTCAGCAGGGGCCGACCGCCCCGGCATTCCTGTAGGCCTACCGCGACATGTTCCCAGGAAGGAAAAGAAGGAGGAGGAGGAGGAGGAGGAGGAGGAGGAGGAGTAAGGACGAGGAGAGCTGGGGGGAGGTCGGAGGGGAGCGGTGCCCACCCACCCCCAGGCCGCCGACTTCGCCAAGGCCGCCACGGAGGCGCCCGCGGCCCGGCGGCGGGGCTCTCTCTCTCTCGGGCCTGGCCGGGCGGGGCGCGCGAAGTCTCCCAAGCGCGAGAACAGTTACAGTGTTCTTAGAGCATAGAGACCTGATGTGCGTTCGAGCAAGGCAGCCTCAGCCAGAAAGGTTCTCTGAGGACACGTCGTGCAGACCACACAAGTTTCCCAGAACATCCTTTCTTCGGTGGGTCTATAGGCAGGCGAGGACGCTTCGCCACTGCTCGACTTTCCCTGTCCCCCTCCCCCACGCCCCAAGCGAATGAGGGGGAGGGCAGGATCAGTCCGCTAAGACGAAGTCAGGACGAGATCAAGCTAAACCGAGAGTCTCTGGGATCCGCCGGCTCTGGAAAATGTCTTGGCCTGCGGAGGGGTGCTTGGCGCGCCGAATTCTAGCTAGCGGGCGGAAAGCGGTATAACATAAACGTTTCCGCCGTCGGGAGCGCCTGTCCCCCTGGCCGCTGGACAGTTGATATCCCTGCGTGGCATCGTGGGGGCACGACCTTTCCAGCCGCCCGGGGGAGCAGGCGTCCCCCGACGGCGGCAAAATGTATGTTATGCCCTTCTTCGTCCCATAACCTGGCCATCGCTCGGACGTCCATTCCCTGTGTTTTGTTCGGTTTCGTGCGCGGCATCTTCGCCAAATGATCAAGGATGCTCCTCGATGGTCCTCGCCGAAGGAAAAATGCACACGTCCGAGCGATGCCAAGTAACGTAGGGACTCCGGGCGGGCTGGCCATCGCTGCCCCTCCTTGGGCAAACAGGCCATGACACGGGCACGAGAGTTCGGAGGCCCGCGCGGATTCCTCGGCTCGGCGCAGGGGCTCCCCTGCCTGGCGCGCGGAGCGCGCCAGAGGCCGATCTGAGGAATCCGCGCGGACCTCCGATGTTCTTAGAATCCCCAAGTGCTCTAAAAAACCAAAACAGTGTTCTCAGAACAGAAGCCCGACGAGTTAAAACAGGACAGTCCCAGCCAGACGTGTTCCAGGAGCATCGTGGAAACCACCAAAAGGCTCCTGGAACGTTGTTTGGTAGGCCTACAGGCACGCCAGGACGCTTCGCCACTGCTTGAGACCCGCAGATCTGGGACCGCGCAACTTCTCTGGTGGAGCGGGCGGTCCAGCATCGTGGTGGGTAAGAGGGTCGAAGGCTCCGGACCTTTTGTCTTCTCGACCCGGCGTCTGCCCCCAGATCTGTGCCGCCCGTCAGGGCTGAACCTAAACGGTGTTTTTCGTTTTCGTTTTGTTCTCGTTCTCCCTCGTTTTGTCTTCCATCCACCTCCACCGCAGAACGAGGTCGAAACGAACACGGCCCACGAAATCGCCCAACCACCGTTCAGGCCCAGCACCGCCGCCCATGTCGCCCCGGACCTCGTGCCTCTTCGCCCCGGCGACGGCCCCCAGATTCATGATGCTCCAACCTACTTTAGCCTTGGCAGCCAGAAAGAATTTCGAGCAGCAACAAACTACCGACACTCGGGGGGTCTCACGCGCCGGGCCCGGGGAGACGCTCGTCCGACACTCTTTCGACGACACTCTTTCGACACTCTTCCGGGTGCTCGAAAGTATTTCTGGGAAGTGGCCCTGAAGCACGATCCGGGGCCGCCCGCTGCGCCGGCGCCCCCGTGCCACCTCCGCCGTCGGAGGAGGAGGAGGGGGAGGAGGAGGGGGAGGAGGAGGAGGAGGGGGAGGAGGAGAAGGAGCAGGAGCAGGAGGAGGAGGAGGAGGAGGAGGAGGAGGAGGAGGAGGAGGAGGAGGAGGAGGAGGTGGGGGGCTCCCGAGGCGTCCTCGGGGCCCCGCCTCCCTCGCGGGCCCGCCCTCCCCCTGCCGTGGAGCACGGCCCGCCCGCCGTTCTGCTGCTCCTGGCCTCTGCTGTTCCCATCGCACTCAACTGAGCATTTCCTCAGGGTGGAGGGCTCAGGGTGGACTCCATGGGGACTTCTGCACCTCGAGAATCGGTCCGTCTTACCCCACAATTATTCCGAAGTGGTCGAAAATAGTCAGTCCCCGGACTCTCTTGTTAGAATTGTTTTGAACATTCCTCCTGTAGAGGGACAGGCCCGACTTAAGCGTATGCCGTGGTTGGAGCTGCCTCCGGGGCGACGGCGGCCAGCTCGCCCGAGCCGAGGCTCCCCGATGGCCGCTGAGACTGGCCCTCGGAGAGATCGCGGGGGCCGCGAGCTGCCCCCCCGATTTGAGCAGCGCCGCATCGATCACCATCGGCAGTGCAAAGACCTCCCTTTGGTGCACCTCCCTTCAGGGAAAACGACCTAGGACCGAAACCGACGGACCCAGACCCACAGAAATGACGGCCCCGCCTGGCCCACAGACCCCGACGGGGGCAGGCCACATACCCCGACGGACCCAGAACCACCTCCGACGCTAGGAGCTGCCCCGCCTGGCCCGAGAGACCTTGCCCCTCCTAGGGTTGGGTCGGGCCTGTCCTCCTACAGGGGGGCTTCGGACGAAAAATCAGGCATGGTCAAAAATGCGTACCCCCAAATGGCAGAAAAATTGTCCAATAATCGTCCCCTGACTATGTTTGACTATTCTGGAACATTCCTCCTGTAGAGGGACAAGCCCGACTTAACCCTGGGGTGGCCCCGTGCTCTGGGATCCTGGGTGGTGGCGGGGCGGTCCTCTCGTTATTTGTGTGTTTATGGCAGTGCTTGTTCCCCGGCTCTCTCGGCATCCACCCGCCACCGAAGCGGCGGTCCCCCTGCCACCGAAGCGGCAGGCGGCCATGTCTGCACGGTGCGGGCGCGCGGCCCGCGTCACGTCGCACGGGGGCCCATCGCGGCGAGGCTGGCGGCAAGGAGACACAGCACAGGACATCCTCATGAGGGGGTCAACGTCGAAAAGCCCGCTAAGGAGCCGTGGGGTACGACTTGCAGAATCCCCTGCGAGCTAGGAGAGGGGAAGGAGGGAGGCGGATGAGAGGAAAGATGGAGGAGGAGCGTTGCGCGGAGGAGAGAGAGGGAGGAGGAGGAGCGGTGGGTGAAGGAAGACTACTCTTAAGTCGGGCCTGTCCCTACACAGGAATATTCACAATCAGTAACAACGAATAATATGGGGACGCTTGTTTGACTATTTTTGAACATTTGTTGGTTCTGTCGTTTTTCTCCCAAACTCCGCCAGTAGGAGGATGCCCGACCTAAGACTACTCCAGATGTCGTGATAGAATGGAGGGTCCAGCCATGAAGGGCGGCCTCTTGCCCAGACCCCACTGGTCCCTCAAAGACAACTCAAATCAAATCCCCCCCAATGTGACCCCCCCCTGTATTACGAAACCCGGAATACATCAACCAACGTCGAAGCGGGAAACCGGATCGAGTCGGCATATGCGTCGGATCGGACCCCACCAGCACGGAGCCGAAATCGAATCGGCTCGGCTGCGCCAAGATGCACAAGAGCGCCATGCAAGCATCCGGTCGCATCGGATCGCCCAGGAATCGAAATGGACCCGGACTGAGCTGGCCTGAGCCGATCTCGACTCGGATGGATCGAATCGAAATGGACCCTTGACGGAGGAAGAAGGCGGAGCAGGAGGGACGAGGGAGGAGACAACGACCAGGAGGGTGGAGGGAAACAATGAAAGAGTTAGGGAGGAGGGACGAAGGACAAAGAATGAAGATGCCGACGACCAACGACCGCAGATCGAGGACCGACGTCAGACTACCAACGCCCGACGACGACGACAACACAACGACAACCACGACGACGCACGACCGACCGGCAGCGACGACGGACGACCAGCGACAGGCGACCGACAGCGTCGAACGACGGACGACGACGCCGAACGACGAATAACGGTGGCCGTCGCGGCCGCCGCCATTCGCGAGGAGACGCCGCTGCCGCCCCAAGGCCGCCGATGCCCGACCGATGGCAGCTGACGGCCGCCGAGGGCCACCCGATGGCCGGCGGTGGCCGCCGGTGGCCTCGGGCGGGGCGCGGCGACCCTGTCAGGGGGAGGTCAGGAGGCGGGGCAGGGGCAGAGGCGGGGTCGGGAGAGGAGCCGCTCCAAGCTGTTTTGGGGCCCGTTGTCCACCACCACCAGCATGAGCTGGAGGGGGAGGGGGTTGTCCTCCTCCTCCTCCTCCTCCTCCTCCTCCTCCTCCTCCTCCTCCTCCTCCTCCTCACCACCACCACCACCACCACCACCACCACCACCACCACGTCGTCGTCGTCGTCGTCGTCGTCGTCGTCGTCGTCGTCGTCGTCGTCGTTATCGTTATCATCATCATCATCATCATCATCATCATATCATCATCATCATCATCATCATCACACCACCACCACCACCATCATCATCATCATCATCATCATCACCACCACCACCACCACCACCACCACCACCACCACCATCATCATCATCATCATCATCATCATCATCATCATCATCATCATCATCATCAGCATCAGCATCAGCATCAGCATCATCATCATCATCATCATCGTACTCCTCCTCGTCCTTCTCCTCCTCTTTCTCCTCCTCCTCTTCCTGCCCCTCTCCAACTTCTGGTGGTGGTGGTGGGAAACAGGCCCATCACAGTTCCTGGGAGGAGGAGGCGTGAGCATCGAGCAGGGCTCGCTCGCTGGCCCCGCCTCGGGGGCACCCTCCCCCTCCGCGAGCCCCCCGACCCTGTGTTTCAGCATCTGGTAGAAGAAGTGGCGCCGCAGCAGCGTGCGGCTGGCCACCGCGAGCGCGACGACGAGGCCAAGGAGCGGGAAGAGCCTGTTCTCTGCTTGGGGGGGGCGGTCCTCCTGCGCATCCTCCTCGTCCTCATGTTGCCTCCGATCCACCGTCGCCTCTTCCTCCTGTTGCTCCTCCTCCTCCTTGTCGCTCCTCCTCCTCCTCCTCCTCCTCCTCGTCCTCTTCCTCGTCCTCCTCGTCCTCCTGTTCCTTGCCCTCCTTTCCTCGAGGTTGTCGGAAGTATCAGGCCATCCTGGGCTCTCTGAAGTCCTCGGGGGTCGGTGTCGGGGGCTCCTGGGTCGGTGACGGGGGTGCCACTAGGGCCCAATCTACTGTCACCGTGGAGCTGCTTGACGTCAACTTGGCCAATCTAGTGCGCCTTGTGATTCCATAGACAAAAGAACGGTGGTTGGAAAGTGGTCTTAGGCGTAACTTGGACGCCGAATGTCCAATTCCAAGCTACGCCTCTGGATGTTCTGGAATACTGGGTCGATTCTAGAGACGCACGTTATGATGGACATGCTCTAGAGCCCCCTAGAAGCGCGTCACTGTCTGGCTCCGGCTTTTCTCGTCGTCGGGCAGACCGACGCGAACCAGAGTATAACACTCCAAGTTGTGATGGTCGTGCGCTCTGGAAATGACGTGGGATCCGCACATCCTTGACGTCCCTCTCGGTTGCCAGATCTCCTGCGTGCATGCGAGGTGGACTTTCGCGCCCTTCATCCGGTGATTCGCGCGCCCAATCCTCGCGACCCCGCGTTGCTGCGCCCCCCCTGTCTGGGCGGCTTCGTTGATAAACCCGCGTTGAAGGTGATCGCGCTGAGTTCGACGCTGGCCCATGCGCAAGTGGTCCCGTTGCTCGGCTGCAAATGCTCCGGTGCAACTAACGCTGCGAGAGGTGCCGCGATCAGGCCGTAGTTGGTCGACTCGGGGCACGCGCTCTTAGTACTCTTGTCGGCTTGGCAGATTCATTCCCAATGCTTTTGTGTTGCATGCATCTCTCCGTGTGGCTGTGGGCTGCTGCATTATCTTGAGTTTTGTCGCTTGGCGACAGGGTCAGCGAATTCGATCTATGGGTGCCCCGCGAGGGCGCATGTGCGGTCGGTGAGCGTTTTGGTTTGTTCGCAGTTCGGCCGCGCCCTGTACTGGCCTTCTGCTAAAATGTTGGCAACCTTCGTCGGCGCGGACTGTGGCTGGCGCGCCGTCGCGCGCGTGCGCCCGCGACTATATCCATGCGCACGCCCAGAGCTGCCAGTTCTGAAGTCGTGGTAATCGCCTTATCTGTCGGTAGGAGTTGCGTCTGACATTCTCGCGGCCAATGCGCAGGCGCGCGCGAAGACGTTTCGTCGCGGCCGCGGCCGCGCGGGTCGCAATAATGGAACGATTCTACGTTGTGGCCAGCTCGTTTTCGGCAGCGCCTCCGTTCGCAACTCCCGCGCTCGCGCCAATGGTCCGTGGTGGGGGTGGCAGTCTGTGTGGCGATCGCGCAATTGGTCGCCGCGGCGCGCGCGCGGCCCGCGGCCGAACGCGCCGCGCCGCGATCGCAGCGCCCGCGGTTCGACTCGCATCAGCCTTCTAGCGCGCAATCGGGGCCGCAGCGGCGCTCGCATCGCATGAGGGCCCCGACGGGGCCCCGACGGCGCCCGCCACAGGCCTCGGAGTGTCCGCGCTGAATGGCCTTCAAAACAAACGCTCCTCAGCTCTTCGTCGAGCCCCGCCGGCGCCATTTTCGATCCTCTTAGACGGCGAGGGGAAGCCCACAGGGCTACCGAGGGCCCCGCGAAGGCTCTGAGAGGGCCCCAAAAGAGCCCCCCGAAAGTGGCGCGATGCACGGGCGCGAGCGCGCAAATTTTGAAGCCCTGTTTGGGACCCGCTCGGGCCCCTCTTTGGGCCGTATTCGGGCACGTTCAAAATGCGCACTGCCGGCGTCATCTTCGGCCCGCCCAGTCGGCGCTGGAAAGCACCTGGGGCCCCCGATGGGGGGGGGGCTTCAAGAGGGCCCAGAAAAGGTTTCAGGGGGCCCCGTGAGCAAAGCAAGGGCGCGTGCGCCACTTCGGCCGCCCTGTCGGGGCCATCTAAGGCTCCCCTTCGATATCCTTGGGGCACATAATGCAGCTTGAAGACTCACTGGGCTCGCTCGGGGCCATCTTGGGGCTTGCTCAAGGACCTCTGCGGGCGCGCCGCGACGATGGCCAGGCCCCCCCGTTGCAGTCAGTCCACGGGCCCCCCTCGCCCGCGCGCGCCTGCCCAGCGCGCCCCAAGCCCTCGGCGGGCAGGTTCTCGCGGCGCGGGGGGGGGGGGGGCGCGCGAGCCCGCGTGGATTCGGGGCAAGCTGCTCGGGCAAATGCCCGGTGGACGTCGCGCGGAGAATTGCGGTCGGGCCAAGGGCGCGAGCACCAAGGAAAAACGAACACGCACATTTACGAGGCATTCACTCAACTTGCACCGCATACGACACGAAATGCACGGGGTGATCCGCGATATATTCGCATGAGTCCTCGGCGGTGCGAGTCCGAGAGCCACAGTGGCTGCTGGGCTGGGTGGAATATGTCTCAGGCTCGTCCAGGTCTGGAAAGTCGGCAGCGAGGTCAGGCCCTCCGGGTGCCTGCTTCCCTGAGTCGGCCCCCCCCTTGCGCGTGGCCCTCGCGCGCGGGGCGGGGTTCGTCTCGGGCCCCAACCCCTGATGGACGTGGATAATTAGCGGGGCCACGATGTCAGGCCCTGTGGCGCATGCCTGGGGGCGGCCGAAACAGCGGCCCGCTGCCGCCCCCTCGGGCCGGCGTTCGAGAGTCGTCGAAGTTGGGGCTTGCATCCCTCATCCTTACCTCGCGCTCGCACGCTATGCCGTGCCCGGCTTCCGTCGAGCGCCCGTGCTGGTGAGTCGATGCTCGGTGGCGCTGTCAGCGGCGTCGTCGGTTGCGGATGCGGTCGTCGCGAATGCACCGCGTCGCCTGCATGTCCGCTGCCCTGAATGGGGACATCGCACTGCTTCGCACTCCGCCTGAACGGCGCCATGGCTGGCCCCTGTCTGGGCCTTGGGCTCTGCGGCGCCGCCACTTGCACTGTGCCCCCCGCGGCTGGTAGCGGGTCGCCGCGGCGCTCCAGGCGCGCCAGAGGCGGCGCGGCCCCCGGAGGGGCGCGGGCAGCCGCGCGACCGTCAGCACGTTACCGTTGCAGCCCCATCTAGCTGCATCGTCGCTGGTCGCGATGTCGGCGCATTCGTCTTTGGGGATGGCGCGTCTATCGACGTCCCGATGGCATCGTCGGTTGGTCGCCCCAGCGGCGTTGATCCCGGCCCCCGGGCGACCGGCGCGGGGCCTTCATCGCCGACGCCACACGATGGGCCCGCGGCGCTGGGCGCTGGAAGCCCCGCCGTCGACGCGCCCCGAGCTGCCCGCCGCCGTCGCCGAGGATGCGCCCGCAGCCCTAGGGTTTCTCTTCGTGGTCGAAGGGCGGAATGGGGCGTTGGACGCTGGGGCCTGCTGTGATTTCATTGCTCCGTAGATGTATGAATCCCCTGCCGCCTGGTCGCTGGGCGACGGCGCGAGCTCGGTCTCTTCCAGCGCCGAACCTTGGATGAGGCCGTTCAGGCTGCGCGAGCGCCCGTTGCTCCTCGTCGCTGGATGGCATCTGCACAGCGCAGGCCTTCTCGCTCGCGTCGACCATCTCCGCGCTGTCCAATCGCCGCCGCCTTGCCGCAGAAACAGCGCGAAGCGCATTGTGATACTCCCCCATTGCTTCCTCGGCGCGCCCTTCGCGCAATTCCTTCCAGTGCCTCCAGTCCGCCCACTTCGACGGGCATCTGGGTCTCGCACAAGCGGGCGTCGCGCTACTTCGGCGCGCCCATCTCCGCGAGTTCAAAATACTAATTGCGGCCCCCCTCTCCGCGTGTTGGCGCGATGCCGGGCTAGCTGTTCGTGCGTGGTCGCCCCGGTCAGCGCGCGCTGCAATAAATGCTGCTAATGGTGTTGGGCCTGGTCAGCATCTTTTATTCTGACGGCTCGTTCAATGTCGATGACCATTTGCTGGTGCTCCTCGCGGACGAAGCTGGTCGTGCTCTTCTGCATGGGCGCGCTGGCGTCTGTCCTCAGCTGGGCGTGCTCGTGGCGGTCGTTGGGCCGCTGCGCTTCGACGGTGGCAATGTGCTGCTCGGCCTCGTTGGCCCCGGCACGCCTTCCCGCGGCCACCTAAGCTGCCTCTCGCGGCTGTGTCGGTGCATTGTCGGGCGACCGCTGTTACCCCAGATGAGCTTCTGCTACGCGCGCCAGGGCTCGCTCTGCAAAGCGCGCATGTCTCCGCGCGGTCGCGACGATATAGGATTTCCTCCGCGGTGGTTCTCATCGCCTCGAGCTCCTCCCCCGCCCTGCGCTGGGCTGCCGTGTTCCTGGTTTGTAGGACATCGTGGCGGGCGGCCCGCGCTTCGTTCCTCTACTTGGCGTTGTCGATGTCGTTTTTCAGCTCGCGTTGGTAGTGGCCGGCTCGTGAAGCTCCCCTGCGGCGCCTTCCCATTTGCCCTGCACGCACTCCTCCGTTTCGCGGAAATGTCTGTGGCGGACGTCAATAACGTTCTTGAAGTCGTTCGCGTTATTATTGCAGTCGCGGGCCGCTCGTTGGTTGTCCCCCCTCAGGATTTGGAATAACAGGTCGTGGTCCTGCCCCTTGGTCGTCTTCCCAGCCCGTGTTTGCCTTCTGGGGGCTGGTGTGGGCGCCCTGGTCTGCGGCGTGCCCCTCTGTGTTTTTTTTGGTTTCATCGTCTGCAGCCCCTGCGTCGTTGTAGACGTCGCCCTTGGCTGTGCCGACGTCGCGGTGGGAGATGTTGGGCTCGCCGATGATGGTCGCAAGCTCGTCGATGTACTTCTCTGCGTCGTTTTAGTATGCCTTGGTGTGCTCGTTGTAATATTCCATGGTCTGCTTGGCGTTGTCCATTGCCGTGGCTTGTCGGGCTCGGGGCACACTGTTGGGGCCATGGTTTGATGATTGCAGTCTGGGCGACTGCACCTGTAATCGGTCGCCGTGCAGGGACGCTTTCACAATGGATGCAGCTGGCAACCTCTGGTCGATGATATCGATCTTCTCCCCGTCGTATCTCAGCTTGGGGTCGTCTGGTGGTGGCGCCAAGTCAAGCCCTTGGACGGCGTTGACGTTGCGCATCGACGCGACGGTGTTGAACGTGTTCGCAGTCGTTCTAGCTATGGGCAACATGTATTTCTCGGGCGTGCTGACATCATTGGAATATGTCTTGGGGTTCGACTCGCCTTTGTTGTTACTGCGTTTGTTGATTATGGCTGCGGTTGTCGGGCTCGGCGTCGCCGAGGGCAGGTGGGAAGCTCCCGCTATTTTGCCTGGGTTGCCCTTGCCGCTGTAGCCCTTGTAGGTATCGGGGTGGTCGCTGGCCCGCTGACATCACATGTGTTGTTTCTACAGCGTTCTGGGCCTGCTCAATCGCCGGTGGTGTAGGGCGTGGTGTAGATCCACTGCTTGGGATGCGACTCGAGGTTGATATGCAAAGTGGCGCTCGGAATAAACACCATGCCTTGAGCAGCCGTGGCATAATGCGGGCGTCAGTACGTTGCCGCCGGAATCGCCCGTGCCCGGCGGGGCCGCGTGATCTGGACGTCGTTGTCGACGTCGCCCCGAACAGGGGGCAAGAACAACAGCACTTGTGATAGGTATTGCTGTGAGTATCACGGACCTGATGGGCCTGTGAACGCCGCGCTGGCCGCCGCCTCGCCCCCCGTGCGGGGCAAATGGGGGCGGGATCGGGCGATCGCGACTCAGGTCTTCCTCCTGCTCCTACTTCTCCGCCTCCGGCCCTGCCTTCCAGTTCCGCCTCCTCCCGCCTCATCTTCTGGTCGTTCGCCTGTTTATTATAATCGCTAGTCCTTCGTATTATTACTCTTGTGAATAGTTCCCTTTTGTTGCTCTTGTTCTTCTGATTGTCCTTGTGCGTTTCCTCTTCGTCCTCTTCCTCCTCCTCCCTCCTCCTCCTCCTCCTCCTCCTCCTCCTCCTCCTCCTCCTCCTCCTCGCCCGCCCCCTTCTCCCTTGGAGAGCTGAAGGGGAAGTACGCAGAGACAGTCACGATTTCCACGGCCCCTCGGGGCTGGGAGAAAACCTGGGGGGAGGAGGGGGATTCACATGAAAAGAACGGGCATTGGGAGGATCAGCAGGGAAGAAAGAGGAGGACTCACAGGAGAGGAGGAGTGCTAAACGGATTGATCGGAGGATTCGCTACTATTCAGTCGGAGAACTGATTCGGAGGATGATTAGTGGGGCACGATGAGGAGGAGAGCACGAGGACGGGCGCCCCGCCTCACGTAGGACTTGGTGTACTCGCAGAGGCCCACCTCCCAGGGCCTCAGGCCTCGAGCGGGGCACCGCAGGGCTGAACCTCAACGGTGTCTTTCGCTTTCGTTTCGTTATCGTTCTGTCTTCGCTTTCGTGTCGTTTTCGTTTTCCCTCGTTCTGTCTTCAGTCCGCCTTTCACGCAAAACGAGATCGAAACGAAAACAGCCCACGATATCGCCAAAACACCGTTTAGGTCCAGCCTCGAGGCATCGAACGAGACACAGGACCGCTGGCGGAAGATAAGCGGCGCGCGCAAGGGGGAAGGGGAAGGGGGGAAGGCCTGCCAGGAAACGAGTTGCACATATGGGCCCCAGGAGGTGTCGACCCGTTCCCCGGGCCGGCTCTTCCTCCCGAATCGTTCTCGGACGGCCCCGTTGCCCTGCGATGGCCCCCGGAGCCCGACAACCGCAAGCAGCCCTCCGCCAAGGGGGTGCTTCTAAGAAGCCTTCCCCGCGCCCCTTACATCCATATATCCATATACCAGGCCTCCCCTCTAGGGCGCGCGGCCTTACATCCATGTATCAGGCCCGCGCCATCTACGAAGCAGGGGTGCTTCTATGAAGCCGTCCCCCCTCCTCTTACCCCCCGCTGCGCCAGCACGAACACAAAGACTCACACTTCGGACTGGGGGAGTACAAGTTCCATCTGAGCTTTCTTGATTCAGAATGTTCTGAGACGCCCACCCACTGGGAATGGAGGGCAACTTGGGATAATTTGGGGTCTTCGGGTTGGGCTAGAATGGCTTAATAAGTAATACACACAGAATCCCTGGCAAATGCTCAGCTACAACGACCAATCTGCCACAAGAGAACGAGAAAAACAAGCTTGGCATAACGAACGGGTCCCGACGGAAACGGGCCCTGGACACGGGGACCTCAACCCAGGCTTCCATGCTGAGTCGTTTCCGAGCGGCCCTGGGGTCCAGGGAGGGCTCCAGAGGCTGGAATATGGAGAAGAAACTCCACAACCCGCGCCTGGGGGACCAACCAACACCAATACCGCCTCTCCCCGGACCTCTCCCGGGGAGCGTTCTGATCGGAATTTCGAGGCGAATCCAGCCGTGGTGACGAGGGCTCACCAGGACGAGCAGCGGTATTGGTACTTTTGTCACCTCTGAGCTGCCCTCAGGTCCCCATTCCTCTGTGGCGAGAGAGCGATTGATCGGGAGGGAGGAATCTGCTCTCCTGGGACCTTCTGATCGTCGCGCCGCTGCTCCAAGAGCGGCCATGCGGCCATATCCGAAGTCCCTGAGATCGGATGTTGCGAACGAAATTGCAGCATCGCGACAAATCACGATTGGAACCCCAGGCCAGATTCACTACAACAATACCACAACAACATCACAGATCGATCCGCACTACAACTTCACCAACATCATCACAACAACATCACACGTCCCAGGCCCTTGGACCATCACAGATTGATCCGCACTACAACATCGCGAAACATCGGGACCAGAGCCCTAGATCCCCCTCTGCGGCATATCTCGAGCCAGCTCGATTTGCCATGGTCCTGGGGCCCGACTCTGGCCATCTCCGCACGGAGAGTGCGGACAGTGGCTGCCCTCGTGCAAGGGCCCCTGCACAAAGGCAGCCCCCTCGGTCGGGGAGACGTGAGACTGGGATTCGTGGGGCTTGGTTTGTCCTGACGGGGCCGTCAGGAAAACGACGAGGCCCAGTCTGAACTTTATCCCGCTGCATTCATGCCACGAACAAAAAGCCGATGTGTATTATTCGCGATAACGCCAGCTTGCCGACCCCCTCTCCCTCTGGTCCCGACAGGAGTCGCGCCGGTGCCGTCTGAAACTTTTCCTGAGCATTCCAATGACGGCGGCGAAGCGAATCATGACGTGACCGGCCCCCTCCCCCCGTCCCCCCCCTATAGTCACGCCAAGCTGTCTCAAGCTGAACCGTCGAAGATCGTCTGCCTGAACATTATGGATCTTTGTTTTGATGAACGCCCGAACTCTGGGGTAGATCAATTATGTAATCGATCTCCGAGTCGAAACCGGGATTCTTGGGGCTCGAGCCTTACGTTGCCCCGAGTTCTCGGCGGCGACGATAAGGGCGAATAGCCCAGGGGCGGGCATTACACGCATTCGCCTGGGAGCCTTTTCGAAGACATACATCATCGGCGCACCTGAATAACTACATGTATTGCTCTCCCCTGGGCTATTCGCCCATATCGTCGCCTCTGGAGTTCGGGCACCGGAGGCGTGGTTCCGGCGAGGCCCCCCCTGGAAGACGGGCGTCGGTAGCGGCCACCCAGCAGGCCTCCGCCCTCCATGAGGGCATCGGCGTCGTCGGCGTCGTCTTTTTCCGTTCTCGTCGTCGTCGTCGTCGTCGTCGTCGTCGTCGCCGTCCTCGTCGTTGTTGTCGTCGTCGCCCACACCGCGGCGTGATGCTTATTGCCTTGGGGTTCGAACGGGCGGTGGCCCTAAGCCACCCAATTTCGCGCATCGCGCCCCGCGAGCAGCCTCGCGCCCCCGCGGGTGGCCTCGGTGTCTGGCCGCGTGACTTCGATGCTTCTTCGACGTGGCCCGTGCTGTGGACGCCGGCGGGTGGATCTCGCGCTTCTCGTGGATGCGATGCTGTGTTTTCTGCTGCTGGGCCTCGTACGAGTGTGGGGGGGGGGGCTGGCCTCGGGGCTCGATGCTCGTGCCGCAACCGTCGGCGGACCCCCCCGGCTCTCTGCCGATATGGCTTGTTCGCTCCGCGGCCCGGGAAAAAGAAACGAGTCCTTCCCCAGGGGTGGCTTCGCGATCTGGATTTGTTTTACGACCCCGGGGCCTGGAAAGGGCCCCTAGAGAACGACATTGAAGACAAGCGCCAAAAAAGGTCGTAGAGGCCGAACGCGGCTTCAAGACCGGCCCAGTACGGCCGCGGAAAAAAAACGCTGGCCCAAGAGGGCCCCCTGAACGAACCACGACGGCCTCAGACGGCCCCGCGCCGGCCCCAAGAACCCCCCCAGACGGCCAACATGGCCCTACAGTGGCCGACAGGAGGTTCGAAATTGCCCACGGGGGCCCCAAGACGGTCCAAGAGAGCCCGAAGGGACCCTAAAGACTGACCCACAGAAGTTCAAGACAGCCCCCAAACGGCCCAAATGAACTCCATGTGAACTCCGCAACTCGTGAAAACGAAACGCGTCACGTGCGACAGCTGGGGGACGGTGGCGCGCTCTGGGAGAACAGTCCTGCACCGAAGCACGGTCGGGTGCGACGCACCCGCTTCTCGCGCCCGCCCGCTCACTTTCACAGCTGGCTGGCCGAGGCAAAAACGTCGCCAGGCTGGTCCTGGCAATCAGAGAACCTCGTCCCCGTTGCCGCCGCGGGCCCGCCAGGAGGCGAGTGGCGCCGCTCCTCCGCGTGCCCCGCCACGCTCGCCCATTTTCGCCGCCTGCTGCCGCGTCTCCATGCCTCCTCGTCCTCTTGCTCCTCCTTTTCCTCCTCCTCCTCCTCCTCCTCCTCTTCCTCCTCCTCCTCCTCCTCCTCCCCTCCCATCCCCCTCTCCACCGCCTTTGTGCTTTGGATCAACGTTCGGAACGGGCCCGCAGCGGAAAAAAAACACTGACAGTACAGGCCCTGCTACCGCAGCAGCGCGCAATGGCGAGAATCAACGAGCGCAGCACTGTTGGGAGCGAGTATCTGCAGCGCGTGGCCGTGGCAAGGACGACATCTTCCCTCTTCCTCCTCCAATAACATTTGGATATCCCTGCCGAAATGTCAGGCCGGCCAAAATCGCCTGGCCGGCCTAAGTGGCAATGCGAACGCGCGGTTTCCCTGCCGTGGGAGGCTGGCTCGGACGGCGCCAGCTGGCCCGAGACAGACACGCACTGCAACCGACCATCATCTTCCTCCACTTCCATATATATATACATACATACATACATACATACATGCGTACATACATATATATATATACATATATATATATTTACATATACATCTGTGTTTGTAAATAGGTAACTCTATATATATATGTATAGATGTGCATACATATAACAGATATGTATACAGAGTGGGTGAGATCAGCGCTTTACGCCCCGCACAGACGATAAGACGCTAAGACGATAAGGCGATGACGGGGCAAAAGACGATAAAACGCTAAGACGATAATGCGACATAGGGCCACACCAGACGAGAAGACGACAGTACGATATAGGGCCACACCAGACGATAAGACGATATGGCGACGAAGCAATGTTATCGTCTTGTCGTCTTACCGTCTCGTCGTATGATGATGATGACGACGATGACCACGATGACGATGATGATGGCGATGCTGATGACGACGATGACCACGATGACGTTAGGAGGATGTCGTAGCCGAAAGCGGCCGGACGACCATAGGGCAGGGCACCTCCGACGTCAGCGTTGCGAGGATGTCTCCAGCGAAAAAAGCCTGACCATCTCAGCCCAGGGCGCGTCGGAACCCAGGGTTGCGAAGATGTCACGGGGGAAAGTGGCCGGCCGGACAACCAGGGGGCAGGGCATCTCGGAATCCTGAATTGCGAGGATGTTTCAGGCGAAGGTGGCCAGATCACCGCAAATCAAAACATCTCGGATCCCAGAGTGCCAAGGATGTCCCACGCGAAGCGGGCCAGAACTCTTCGAGAAATGTATCTTGGACCCCGGAGTAGTGAGGATGTCCCAGGCGAGACTGCCCAGATCATCAGAAGTTGTGGCATATCGGTACCACCCTTCGGCACGTTGCGCTCCAGGTACTTGAAGAGGTACGCAGGAATGCCTTCCTGCGTGGGGACATCCTTCAGGAGACTCTGTAACATCTCGTAGTCTTCCGGCTTAACTTCGCGGAACTGCAACGCATGCAACGAAGACGCAGCAGGCATCATGGCTGCGTCCTGGAAGGGCCCCCCAAGCCCGAGCCACTTGGATTGCGAATGGCTGGAACCAAAATGGCTCAGTGCGTAGGTGTGTAAGAGATGCCCAAGAGGCCCCGAGGGGCCCCCCGAGGCACCCAAGAGGACCCTGGGACCGCCAAGAAGCCCAAGGATCGTAGAGATCGAACGACAATTGACCTGAAAACCGTCTCCAGAAACGGTTTTTGGAGGGAGGGGGGTCACCGTTTCCCAGTTCGGTTTTTTGGAAGGGGCCCCCAAGGCGAGCTCCCAAGTGAGGCGCCTTGATGGGCGGAGGCCAAGGTGGGGCGCTCGGGCTCCAGAAAGGGGAGCGCCCTGAGGGGAGCCAATCGGGGCCCCGTGGAATGGCATAGCACACCATAGCTATGGCCCATGGGTGATAACTATAGCTGAAGGTGGGAAAACGTAATACAATAAGTCGTATCGTCTTATCGTCTGGTCGTCTTTTGGCTAGGTGTGTGGGTGTGTAAGAGATGCCCACGAGGCCCCGAGGGGCTCCCCGAGGCACCCAAGAGGACCCTGGGATCGCCAAAAAGCCCAAGGATCGTAGAGATCGAACGACAATTGGCCTGAAAACCGTCTCCAGAAACGGTTTTTGGATGGAGGGGGGTCACCGTTTCCCAGTTCGGTTTTTGGAAGGGGCCCCCAAGGCGAGCTCCCAAGTGAGGCGCCTTGATGGGCGGAGGCCAAGGTGGGGCGCTCGGGCTCCAGAAAGGGGAGCGCCCTGAGGGGAGCCAATCGGGGCCCCGTGGAATGGCATAGCACACCATAGCTATGGCCCATGGGTGATAACTATAGCTGAAGGTGGGAAAACGTAATACAATAAGTCGTATCGTCTTATCGTCTGATCGTCTTTTGGCTAGGTGTGTGGGTGTGTAAGAGATGCCCACGAGGCCCCGAGGGGCTCCCCGAGGCACCCAAGAGGACCCTGGGACCGCCAAAAAGCCCAAGGATCGTAGAGATCGAACGACAATTGACCTGAAAACCGTCTCCAGAAACGGTTTTTGGATGGAGGGGGGTCACCGTTTCCCAGTTCGGTTTTTGGAAGGGGCCCCCAAGGCGAGCTCCCAAGTGAGGCGCCTTGATGGGCGGAGGCCAAGGTGGGGCGCTCGGGCTCAAGACACAATAGCCATGGCCCATGGGTGGTAACTATAGCTTAATGTGGGAAAACGATCAGACGGTAATACAATAAGTCGTATCGTATTACGGTCTGGTCATCTTTTGGCTGGGTGTGTGGGTGTGTAAGAGATGCCCACGAGGCCCCGAGGGGCTCCCCGAGGCACCCAAGAGGACCCTGGTAAATCCAAGAAGCCCAAGGATCGTATAGATCGAACGACAATGGACCTACAAACCGTCTCCAGAAACGGTTTTTGGAGGGAGGGGGGATACAGTTTCCCGGCTCGGTTTTTGGAAGGGGCCCCCAAGGCGAGTTCCCAAGTGAGGCGCCTTGATGGGCGGAGGCCAAGGTGGGGCGCTCGGGCTCCAGAAACTGGAGAGCCCTGAGGGGAGCCAATCGGGGCCCCGTGGAATGGCATAGCACACCATAGCTATGGCCCATGGCTGATAATTAAAGCCTTGGGTGATAAGACGACAAGACGATAAGACGATAAAACGATACAATGTTTATCGGCTTATCGTATTATCGTCTTATCGTCTGGCGGGACTATATATTTCGTCTTATCGTCTTATCGTTTTATCGTCGTATCGTGTGGCGGGTTTCTATATCGTCTTATCGTCTGATCGTCTTATATCGTATTTTCGTCTTACCGTCTTATTGTCTGGCTTTGAGATAGCAAGCTCTGTTTTCCACCACAATGTGTATATGCATTAGAAGTTCCCCCGCAGCCTCCTCTAAAAGCGGCGGCATGCCGACTGTCAGGCTGGCCGAGATCGCATAGATGGCCTACATGGAAATGTTAACGCGCGTTTTTGTGCCGTGGGGGGGCTGGCTTGGACGGCGACGGCCGGCCTGAGGCAGAAGAGCACTGTAAAGAAACCTCGCCCTCCTATGCCAGTTTATACGCAATCCACCGCCGCCCCCTCCACCACGCAGCGCGCAAGGCGCGCGGTGTGAAATGCGGCGACGACAACAAACATCAATTGCACAGAAAATTGCTAAAGAGAGCTGCGCAGAATGGGGGCCCGCGGCTCGCACTTGCGAGCGGGATCTCCGCGGCGCCAATGCTCCAAAGCATCGGCGCTCTGTGATTGCCCGTGCCAGAGGTGAAGATGGCAACGGCGTTGGCAACTTTATCCCCGCCCCCCCATCTACCACATACACCGCAAACTCTCCGCCACGTCCATGTGAATAGCGAACATCACGTGCGACAGGTAATCAACTGCGAGGGCTGCGGCAGAATCGAGGCCCAGCGCTCGCGGCTTAAACTTGCTAGCGGGCTGTCCTCGACATCGGTATTAAAAACGTAAATATCCTGTGGTTGCACTCGCCGGGAGTGAGATTAGCCACGGCGCCGGCAACTTTTATTTTCCTCCACGGTACGACCCTCCCCCGTCTCCACCACGCACGCACGGCGTGCACCGCGCATGTAACAGAACGGGAGATGATCCAGGGCGCGCGAACTACGACCGCACAGCGCGCGCGCATCAACATGCGCCGCGTGGGAACAAACTTACAGCGGCACAAACATGAGGGAATCGCCAAAATGGGACAAGACTGACAACGCATGATTGCTAATGAACAAATTAGCGTTTACGAAGTGATGGCGCACGTGCCGCGTCAGCACAAACATCAGACAGCATGTGCTCGACATCTCCCGCATCGCTGCTTCCCTCCCAAATGTGGTAGAGAACTCTTTCTGGTACGAGGCGAATGTTCATAGAGAAACTCGATGGCCGAATCTTTGAAGTCGCCCAGCAACGTCGATCTTGATACGTGATGAATCCGATATTGCCGCACTCGACACGAACGGCATTGCTTCTGGTCATCACCTGCCATCGCCCGCCCCGCCCTCCGTCCCATCGAGGGCCTTCTTATTGTATAGGCGTACCGAGCGCGCTGGGTTCCCAAATTTGAAGGCATTGGCACTTGTATGGCCATTTATTTCGAGGGGGTGTCATCTGTGCGTTCAAAACGTTCGGAAATCGTGGTCTGGCCATTCCCATGTTCAACATTATTGGCGCGCTGCTGGCAGCTCCGCACTGCTGCGTCGTTTCGAACTCGCCGTGCTCGATCGCGGAAGGAGGCGTCGTTAACAATATTTCCTACAGCGCAAAGTGCTAATCCACCTTTCGCGCGGCTACCGAAATTTCCAGACGCAATGTCGAGTGAAGCTTCAGCCTTGGATTCGGCACCTGACGAAGACTCATTCGGTGGCGGCGGCAGCTCCATTGGCGCAAAGTGCGACGGAAGCGTAGACGGTGGAGGTGGCGCTGGACAAAGTGGTGACAAACTGGACCGATCAAGTGACAGAAGGAACCTTTATCTGCAAATCCTGGCCGCGAGGGGTACACGTTGCCTGCATATCGTAATCTTCTACAACAAGAAAGACAGTAGCACTGCTGTTCCATTGCCAAGAACTAGTATGCTGCTGCTGCTTGCCAACGGGTTGTGACGAATCCCGAGATGTATACAGCCAAACTGTTTTGACGTCAGCCCAAGTGAGCGGAATATTGCGCGTACGAGCTAGATACCCAATCCTGCGAATGGTTTTTGTGGAAACTGCGCGAGAACAATATTAAACATGATAGCGACGAACCATGCCTGAAAGGTGATGCAAGACCTAGACAGTGCCGGAGAGTCTCGTTCAGTACGCGGCTGGCCAACCTGAGGGCGTGCGCGCATGGGTCCGGACCCGCTTGGTCCAAACCTGCCTCCACCGCCTCCTCCGTCTCCCCCTCCCGTCGACCTCATCCCCCCCTCCCCCCTTCCTTCCTCTCCTCCTCTTCCGTCCTCCTCCTCCTGGTCCTCCTCCTCGTTTTCCTCCTTCTCGTCGTAATCCTCCTCCTCCTCCTCCTCCTCCTCCTCCTCCTCCTCCTCCTCCTCCTCCCCCCCCCTGGCGGGCGGGGGGGCAGACGCTAAAGAGGGGCGGACTGTGAGGAGGGGCGCTGGGCGGCGGGCCAGGGATTTCGCAGTCCATGCAGAACTCTTTCTTCAACAGCACCTCCCCTGCCAAGCAGGCAAACGATGGAGGAGGGGGATGGAGGAGGAGGGCGAAGATGAGGAGGGAGGACGTGGGATGGACAAGGAAGAGGGGAAGAGGATGAGGACGGAGGAGGGAGAGGAGGGGAACATAATGAGGAAGGAGGAGGAATAACAACGAAGTAAGAGACAAGGAGGAGGAAGGAGGGGAGGGCGGAGGATGAGAAAGAAAGGAGGAGGAGGTATTTGTTGAGTTATACGACCAGGCGCCCGAACATGTCAGCCAAACTTGGGCTCGCGACAGGCATTATACTTCGGGAGAGAAGCACCTGCCTTGTATGCATCAGTACCCTTCATGGACGGAGACGATCAAAGTACTGAAACACGGCATACAATGATCCATATCGACACGAACTTCGTGCTTCTGCTTGCTATGGGGGGAGGCCGACCTTATACAGGGCAAGCCAGCCATGATGCGCAGCACGGGATGGAGGTAATGCACAGTTGCCCTCTAAACCTCTGACAACGACGCCTGAACTGTGGCTCTTGCATCTCAAACTCGTCAAGCTCACGACCGGTCAACTCTGTCGAAAGCCATCGCACGGTGGCCAAAAACATCTTGACGCGCAGCGTGCAAGCTAGAGTTCGTTGGGGCAGAGGCCAGGATGAGGCTTGGGGACAGACCGCTTCCCCCGAATACACACTTACACGCAACATGCATGCAAAGAACCCCTCTAAACTTCCGACCACCACTCCCATCTATGTCCCTAGCGACCTAGGGCAGAGATCGAAGCATCCCTGTCAACTTCGTCGAGGCCAGAACTCGGCCACAAGAGCAAAAGGCCAGCATCGCACCCACGTCAGCCCAATAGTTGCTTGGGCGATACGATTTCTAAAGGGAGTCGATCCCAAGATCATCGTATCCCGATGGGCGGCGACCTTCACACACGAACTTACCGGTTAGACTTGCGCATGACTTGGGGATACGGCAGCAGGGTGCAGACGTCACGACGACCTGAATAGGCGGTCGACTTGCCAACCCACCAAAAAACAAAACACTAGCCCCAAACAATTCGCTAATTTCGTCCCCTGTGCGGTCTGGGAGTTAAGTCCCAAGCAAGGGCCCGAAACTTCTGTCACCGCCACATCCTGCAAGTCGATCATGACAGCCCTAGACTTACCCGCATGCGTACGTAGAGCAGGATTCGGTTATGCAAGATGCTCCTCAAAGCCCCTCCACCACAACCACCAAAGACCCCGCCACACCGAGCCTTCGACGGCTCCTGATGCCGCGCCAGAAAGAACTACCGCCAGCATCCGTGAGAGGGACCAGCGGTATGCGTCTGCGTGGTGCCGGAAAGGCCCACGAGAGGAATCAAATGTGCCTTCGGAAGCCTCGGCCTTAACTTGCAAAGGAGCGTCGATCAAGTCCTGCTGCACTGAAGCACGTCTAGCTTCTCGCACTGTCTGATGCTGGCACACCCCCTAAACTCTGTGGAAAACGGCATCTTCGCAACTGCATGCCAAAGGGAACAACGTGGAGACAACATACGTGTGACAAAGGTAGCCTGAAAAAGGAATGGTAGCCACACGAAGGACCCAACCATATGCAGGTGTGAATGCCTCAAGGCAGGGTTCCAATACGGGGAGGTTCCTGTACGGGCCCACGAACGATACGGGCGATCAAAACAGGCGTGGTCAGGCAGACGAGCATTGCCATGTATGGGATTTCTGCGGAGCTCCATATGGGGCCTGAGAACACATGCCAGGGGCCAACGAAATAACCGTGGTCGTTCGAGGAACATGTCAAGCCCAGCCCTTGACTGCACTCGTGTGTTTCCATGTTGGCATTTTTCTGCGGAGCTCCTCAGGGGGCTTCAAAAGCGTGCCGCGGGCGAACGGCATGAACCCATGACTGCATACGTTTGTTGTTCCTTTTCATGTTGGTCATCTGTGTGCACGGCTTCCCCTCGGGGCCGTAGGCGACCCGAGGAGGAGGAGGAGGAGGAGGAGGAGGAGGGGGAGGAAAAGGTGGAGGAGGGGGAGGGGAGGAGAAACTTGAGGAGGAGGAGGAAAAGGTGGAGGAGGAGGAGGGGGAGGGGGGGAGGCAAGCTAGGTGCGCTCGCGTCATATCTGACGTCCTACCCCTCCCTCCCATCCCTTACCATGGCGCTGATTTTCTCTATCCGCGGACGCGTGTCGTAGCGGACCTGTGGCTCCGCGCGCGCGTGCGTAGTGGGTGGTGGTGCACGTGCGTGCGTGCGTGCGTGTGTGCGTGGTTGTCGTGGTGGTGGTGGTGGTGGTGGTGTGGTGGTGGTGGTGGTGGTGATGGTGGTGGTGGTGGTGGTGGTGGTGGTGGTGCTGGTGGTGGTGGTGGTGGGTACTGGTGCTGGTGGTGGTGGTGGTTGTGGTGGTGGTGGTGGTGGTGGTGGTGGTGGCGGTGCGGCGCGGTGGTGGCGGGCGGATGGGCGCGCGAGAAAAAGGCCCGCGCTGGGGCGAAAACGCCATCCTGAACGACGGAGGCCAAACACCGATCCGAAAATGAAGCCCACGCTGCAGCGGGAGCACGATTCGGAACGACCCGGGAGCAGAAATGAGGCCGGCGCCTCAACGAGAGCAGCATTTGGGGAAAAAGTGACGCCGGCGCCTCAGCGAGTCGTTTCCCGGGATTTCCCGGGCATCCTGTGTGTAAAAAACAATACGCGGAGGGTGCGCGGCCATCACCCGGACGCCATCAGGGGAAGAGGGAGAGTATTTTCATATTGAGAAATTGTAGATGGATATGGAGATGGAGAGATGGAGGAAAAGGAGGAGGAGGAGAGGAGGAGGAGGGAGGAAGAGGAGGGGGAGGAGGAGGAGGAGGAGGAGGAGGAGGAGGAGGAGGAGGAGGAAGGGTCGCCTAAGCACTTCGGAAAAACCCTCCACATTTGTGCAGCTCCTACTGGGCTGGAAAAGCGTGGCATGGGCGAGCGACGTGAGCTCGCGACTGCGCGCGGATGGTTTCATCTCGGCATTCTCTGTGGGGCCTGGGGAGCTGGAGACGGCGAGCGACACCAGCCCACGACTGCATGCGTATGTATGTAAAATGTCAAACTGCTGTGGACGGGGTTGTGGATGATGTTGCACCTGGGTGCTTCATGACATCACTCTGCCCGGGCTTATTCGCTGCCAGGAAGAAGATAACGTGCGAAAATTATCTGTCTGAATATATGTCAGAATCCCCTAGTCACCCATGCTCCGGCCCATGGAAAAATGCATGTTGAATTAGCACTCGTGAAAGCTGACGGTACCATCCTGCCACAACCGAAACAGCTAACTCCCGCAGGACGACGCGGAATACGATCAATCCAGGCGTGGCCCAAAAATGGGCATGTCGGCTGCCCACGAGGATGGCCCTTGTCGTGGAGCCTACGCCCTTCCGACCCCGGGGCCCCGCCTCGAGCTAACTTTCGCTGGGTGCCGCGGGAGCAGCCCTTGCCACCCCCCTTCTCCCGCCGCGGCTGCTTCTTCAGGAAGCTCCACATCTCCTGCTCCGCCTCCGTCCCGCACTGACGCCGGGACGCGATCTCGATCGGGTCGGTCTTGTTCATCCTCAGCACAACATGCGCCATCACGTCCTTCACCTGCTGCGTGACCAGATCCGAGAAGCTCAGTGTGAAGCGCCAGGGCTAGTCAGGCACCGGGGAGGCGAACTTGGACGACAGCGCGCCGACCATGATGCCCACGATCTCCGCCTGGATCGCCTTGAGCTCCTTGGCCCCGTCGATGACCAGCTGCGTGGACTTCTGGCAGGCCTCGTCGGCCGAGTCGTCGCGCATCTTCGTGGCGACCTCCTCGACCTGGCTCCTCGCGATGGTCCACATGTAGACCTTCTTGTGCGGATAGTCGAACTCTGGCACTGGCGTCTTGTCCGCGGTGGCCCTCTCCCTGGCCTCCTTGCGCTCACCCCAATTGGCGTGCCGCACGTCGCTGAAGCTTTCGCGCTCTCCTTCTGCCCCTCCTCCCGGAAGGGGATCGCGAACTGCGTCGAGTTGATCGCATCATTGGCGTCTTTCTTGAAAGACAAGTAGTCCCTGACCATGCAAGTGACCGCCTTCGTGCAATCCGAGCTGCCGCCGGAGCAGTGGGCCCCCTGGGGGGCCGCCTCGCCCCCGCCGCCGGCCCCCGCTTCCCCGGTCCGACCCTTCTCGTGGTCAGGCGGCTTGCCCTCCGCCACCACCTTGGCCTTCGCTTCCTGGAGCAGCTCCTGCGCCGACTTCGGCGTCTGGCTGCGGGGCGAGGCGGGCTGGCAGCTTGGGGTCCTCGAAAAAAGCGCTGTGCGCCCCCTGCTTGAGCCTGAGACCGGCGAGTCGGAATCGTTCAGCACATCCATGAGCATGCTGCGAAGCCCCTCTCTGTTCTCTGAAACGAATTCCACGATGCACGCAAGGATGACAATCTCCAACGTGATATTGGAATTGGGGCTGCTGGGCAACCTGCACACGAGACAAACGCATCTTTAGGGGCATGCGCACGCACGTCTTGCTATGGAACATATGCTTGTTCGCCGTCTCGAAACGAGCCGTGCAATGGTCACGCGTGCGACGGTCCAGATCTTCCCGCGTTCGCGGCGGCACGGGCAACTCGGAGATGGGCGTCGGTTTTTTCGCACTCTGGTACTTCTCTGTTCTCGGCCGCTTCCTTGTCTGACCAAGCACTGCGGCACTTCGGACACTCAACGCAGCGAGTGCAGCCCGAATGTCGCCAGTGCCCGCCGCAACAGCGATGATTTATGCATCTCGTGCACTGACGACAAGCCGATCACCCTGTGTTACATGCGCGAGCATCGACTTCTGGACGGGGGGGATGAGTGGCGAACCTAGCGAACAGTGTGTCCCGATGTTTGCCCTGCCACTCACCCCGAGGAGCTGCTGTCTGCTGTTGGGGGACCCGCTTCGGGGCGGCAGCGTCGCGTTCAAGTCGAGTAGGCAGCAAATCTGCCACCCGTGCCTAATCCGGAGACCCTTTCGACTTCTGGCGTCA